GGGGGGGGGGAAGTAGGGGGGGTATTTAATCTGTCCGTGTGTGCGGGCAGGGAACGGTTGGGCGTCTCGGTTTGTTTGTCTGGGATCTACACTGCGGTTTTATACTGTTGCAGGGGCGATTTCATCAGCGAGTGTACACGGCGCTCGCGCTCGCAGGGGGGGGGAGGAGTAGAGGTATTCGCGCCCGTTGGTGACCGTGTTGGCGAATATCAAAGAAGCTTCGTTGCCGTCAACAGCCGGGACGGGACCGGTGTTCGGACTTTCGCCGACAAGGCGACCACAACGGCAGCAGCAGCAGCAGCACACTTTTGGACGAGGCAGAGGAGAGGAGGGTCGTCAAATGTTTTTCGGTGTAGGAACATAGCTTCTCATCTGGGGGGGGGTCTAGTGCGAGGGTGGAGTCGACAAGGAGGGTGCGATGGGGGGCGTGGGCCTTTAGGATACACGTTGCATCTGGCTGTCCCGCTGTGTTGTTGGTCACGTCGACTTGCTTGGGTGCGCATGTGTGGGTGATTCGTATGAGGGAGGGGAACACCGCAGTGTGCAGCCCTTCTGCGGAATCACGCACTAAGAATTTCAACCTTTGGGTCATCGCGCGTTGGCAATCCTAGGAGGACAGCAGCGTCAGCTTCAGCGGCGGTCTTATCTGGACTCTCATCCTAGGACCGCGCTCTCGTCGTTTGTCCACCTCCCATGCACACCTAGTGTCCCCAACCCTGAAGCACACGAATCGGATAGATGCTTGTAGCACGGACCGTTTTTCCGATCTCCTCGGCCGCCTGCCTTTCAGGGGGGAGCAGTGGATTGCACAAGATACTTTACGTATGGTACCTTCTTGTGTCCCTCTCTGATAGTGGGGTCTTTGTTTGTCGCTCGGTTCCTGTTAGTCGAAGACACATCTTCACGCCCCCCTCTCCCTCTCCGTCCCTCTCTGTGCGGCATGTGTATCGAATTGATCGCCGGCATAATTCACAACGATACCCAGTAGATGCGTGCCATCACATCGCTAGTGCGTGACAAGAGTGTACGCACGAAGGGCGTTCGGTTTTCTTCACCTTCCCTCGTCGAAAATAAAGCATACTCTTAATACCGTCGCCAAAACTCAGGGGTGGAGTCGGCGTGTGCGACACCTGGTGCGGGGGCGACGGCAGCACTACCTGTGGAGGATCGGACGGATTGTCGCGCGATTATTACAAGATTGAAACCGGCGAGGCCACCTTGGGTGTCAGCGCCGCGGGTGACGGCGCCAGCAACAGCGCCGATCCGTTGGACAGGCTGCTGGAGCTCCACAACGCGGCGAGGTGATTTTTTCGTTTGGAGTCTGGACCCGGTCCGTAGGTGGTTGTGGGAGTGTTTTTTTTACACACGTCAGAGAGGCAGTCTACACCCCCCGCCGCTGGCGCTCGGTCTCTCGCACGCTTTCGTCTGTTTTGGTGGTGTACTCGACGGACGGCGTTTTGGTTGTGTTTGAACGGTGCTGGTTTATTTTCCCTTTCGGACGCACCACGCACATCCGAGCTAAAACCCGCGCCGTTTGCGCGAGCTGAAGGTGTCGTGCATAGCGGGGCATTCTGGCGTGTACATGCGCGGCCACCGGTTGTTTTTTGTTCACTATGTGGTTTGCGTTGTTTTTGTCAATGTTGGTGCTCTCGCTGCTACTGCCATTCGTTCGACCGCATGTCTGAGCCCGGGAAACTCTTGCCCGTTGTTGGCGTGGGCATACGGCGTAAACGAGAAGTACCGGGCGCCGGGATCCCCGGAACGATACCGGACACGAAATACGTAGCGTTGTGTTTCTGTTGTTGAGATGCGCATCACGGTTCCATACGATGATCAACAGCGTTACGTATCTCCATTCATTCGAATCTGCGGACGGGTGGGGGACTCTTGACGATAGTTGGCGGAATCTTTCAACATTGACATTTTGGCGGGAGGGGGACGGGGTAGCAGGAGGAGGCTTGGTTCAGGGCTGCTTCTGTTGTGTGTCAAAATTTGTCGACGAGGCGTTGCTTCTCTCTCCGTGTGCGACGCAGGTGCATGCACGCCACGGGACCCCTGGAATTCGCCGAGCCAGTTGCAGCGACGGCGAAGGTGAGCAAACGGAATCACACATATCGGCTACACGCCCGTTCTACATAAGTTATTGAATGCGGCTATATTTGCCTTGTCAGAGAGGATATTGGACGGGTTTCAGATTGCGGCACGAAATCCTATACAATGCAGAGCAAGTAGGGTTTGTTATAGGCACGCAAAATTCAGTAGTGTTCTGCTGCAAGCAAGTGGCCCGGCAAAGTGGTCGTTCTGGGCGAGGGCGGGGAGCGTGGGAGAGTCGGCCATACGTGTTGGACCAAGGTTGCTGCCCTCCACCACGTCCAGAGTAGGCTGAGTGAGCAGCAGGAGCAACGACAACAAGCGCAGCAAGAGAAAATGGGGCTCAACACTTTGCCCCCCCCCCGCCGGTGTTTGCCATCGGGATTGGGTTTTCGTCGCTTGGCAACGACGTTGTAAAACAAGCTATTTCACTTCGTGAACTCGGCAACCAGGTTACCGTTTTTTTTTTGTTACCTCCGTTTTTTTTATTGGCTGTAACCATAATGGTGGTCGAGTGGATCATGATGTGCGGGGTGGACAATCCTCACTCCGCACAGGGGGGATGATCGCACCACGTTGTGTTAAAATGGTCAAGCACCCTCGAGGCAGTTACACAGTGCTTACAA